CTTAAAGAGGCAGATGTTCAATACTAGAAATTGGAACCATATCTCAAGTTAAACAAAGCACAAGATGAGTTGACTATATTGGGCCAAAAGGTCAAATAGGGAAACTGAGACCATATGTGGCTAATATTGCAGTAAATTTATGGGGTCATGACATGCTGCAGCAATGGAATACCCAGATTAACATTCCTGCAGTCCCAGGAACTTGTAATTCTGAGAAGGATATTATAAGATACTATACACAAAGGTCACCAGCCATTCAGGCTGTATAAGAACATAAAACAACTAGCAAGCCTTTAGAAGAACCAATAGCCCCACCTTTAAAATGGTTAACTGAGAAACCAATATGAGTTAAGCAGTGGTATATAACTGAAGAAAAGCTGCAAGCTTTAGAATAGTTGGTACAAGAGCAACTAGATGCTCACTATATTGAAGAATCAACCAGCTCATGAAATTCTCCTGTATTTGTTGTAAAAAGGAAATCTGGTAAATGGAGAATGGTAAGAGATCTAAGAGCTGTCAATAAGGTAATTAAACCTATGTATGGGCCCTCTACAATCTGGAATTTCTCTGCCTTCTCTATTATCAAAAAGGTGGCCTCTTATCGTTATTGATTGCAAATATTGTTTCTTCACTATGCCTTTACAAGAAAAGGATAGAGAAAAATTTGCCTTCACAGTGTCTACTTATAATACTTCTCAGCCTACTAGGAGATATCAGTAAACTATCCTTCCACAAGGAATGCTCAATAGCTCCACATTGTGCCATTACTTTGTAAGTCGGCCATTGGAAATAATATGTAAACAATTTTCTAAGTCTATAATTTACCATTACATGGATGACATTTTACTATCTGATTTAAACATAGATACCTTATAAAGAATGTGTTAAGAAGTAAAGAAAGTTTTGTCAAAATGGGGATTACAAATTGCTCCTGAAAAAATACAGAGAGGATTTCTGACACTTACCTAGGTTATAAAATAGGTTTGTAGAAAATTAACACACAAAAAGCACAAATTAGGAGAGACCAGTTGCGGACTCTTTAATGACTTTCAAAGATTATTAGGAGACATTTCCAATCTATGACAAGCTGTTGAGGTAACACCTGATCTAAACAAAACCTTAGATGATGATAAAGAATGAATAGTCCAAGAGATTTAACAGCTGAAGCAGAAAAGAAATTGACAGTTGTTGAGGAGATATTACAGGAGGCACATGTGGATATGGTGAATCCAAATCTTAATTGTATTCTAGTCATATTGCCTTCCAGAATTTCTACTTCAGGAGTTTTAGTGCAGAGGGATATAATATATTAGAATGGATCTTTTTACTACATAAACCAAGTAAAAAAAATTAAAACTTATGTGAAAAAGTCTCTGAAATTATTATAAAAGATAAACTGAGACTTTGTCAACTATCAGGAATAGACCCAGCAGAAATTATAGTGCCTTTAACTACTGATGAAATAAGAAAGATTATGGGAAGACAATGAACCATGGCAAAGAACTTGTGCTAATTTTTTGGGAGAAATTAATAGCAATTATGCCAAAAGCGATAGATTTAACCTTATAAAGAGAACTTCTTGGATTCTTCCCCAAATTGTACATGATGCTCCAATAACTGGAGCCCATTCATTTTATACTAATGCAAATAAATCAGGGATGGCAGGTTACAAATCAGAAGAACTAAGTAAGGTTAAACAAAGCCCTTATAATTCTGTCCAGAAGGCAGAATTATCTGCTATTCTTATGGTGCTAAGGGATTTTAAAGAAACCCTTAAAATAGTTAGTGATTCACAACATTCAGAAAGAGTTGTCTTGCATATTGTAACCACTGAACTTATACCAGATGATACAGAATTGACTTCATTATTTACCCAGGTGCAAGACATAATCAGTAATAAGCTTTATTCTATATACATAAAACACATCTGATCCCATATGGGTCTCCCAGGTCCTCTAGCAACCAGGTAATGCAAAAATTGATTAATTATTGATTGGAAGTTTCTGTGTCACCAAGTCCCACAGCCATTTAGTCCCAATGAAACACACAGAGGCTTGTATTAATTATAAACTGCTTGGCATATTAGTTAAGGCTTATTATTAACCAGCTCTTACAACTTAAGTCAGCACATAATTCTTGTCTATGTTTAGCCACCAAACACATATAAAGAAGGATATCTCACATGATATTTATTTATCAAAACTTCCAAAATTAATTACATTAAAAAAGTGTGATTCTGTAAAAAGTCTTTCTCAATACTACCAGTTAAATCCCAAATAATGATGCAGAGACTTATTAATTATGAAAGCCTGACCTTAACTGAGGCTTGTCAAATTTACTCTTATAACTTCAATTATACATTATATAAATCTATGTTTCATCTTGTGCCTTTTTAACTCTCATTCATTCTGTATGTCAGACTCCTTATATGTCTTTTTGGTATCTGACACATGCCTAGATTATCTCTTTCTTCCTTTCTCTCTGCCAGTCAGTTGAAATGATTGGTTGCATAGTAGATGATACAGGGGAAACTTTCTCAATACAGACAGATATGCTATTAGAAGTAAATATAAAGATGAAGTTTCTAAGAAGTTAATGACCAAAATGTGAAATATAAATATTTTAAGAGATAGGTAAAATGCAGAAATTTTGGGTTTTATTATTAAAAAAAATATTTTTATAAAATATTTTTCTCTTCTTATTCCCTCCAACTTGCTCAGGAATCAGTTCCACCTTTCTCACCACACAATCTTTTTCTCTCCTTTCTTTACCAAGCGTGCGTGCGCGCACACACACACACACACACACACACACACACACACAAATCCAGCAAAAAAAGGAATTATACAAGCAAAATACAAACCCACCTACCTAAGAAGTGAGACAAAAAAGTCTTCGAAAATAAAAGGACTTTATTTTGTGTTTGTTAACTCCCCCTGGGTATTGGACCTATCCTGGAGTGGAGATAATATGTACTGTGAGACTATGATTGAGAAACTAATTTTTCTTTGCTAGAAGATAACAATTTCAAAGAGCATCTTGGTTAAAATAAGGAGCTTGTGCCCCCGTCCTTCTCTCAGTACTGAAATCCCACTGATTGGAACCAGTACAGGCCGTGTGTGTGCTGCCACAGTCTCCGTAAATTAGTATTCCAACAGTCCTACCGAGTCTGGAAGACATGGTTTCCTCAGAGTCTTCCACTACCTATGGCACTCATGATCTCTTTGCTTTCTTTTCCACACAGATCCATGAGCCTTGAGGAGATAGAGACATCCTATTTAGGGTCGAGTGTTTCAAAGTCTTTTACTTTCTGATCATTTCCACTGCTTCATGGTGAATAGCAAAAGGGGATAGATTTTTATGACTTTATTATTATGGAACAGTAAATGTCTGTGGCTGTCACACATGGAGAGCCATAAAGCAAATAGAAATAGCAAATGTAGATAAATATAAGACTTATTGGTCTTTATCATAAACCCCTCCACTTATAAATGTCTATATACTAATGGGATCATGGTAGCAAAAATGGATCTCTACAGACAAATCATGCTTAATGAAAAAACAGATTTCTCAAAGATAACCAAAATGCTTTCACCACCTGAAGTTCACATAGGGGATAAAATGTTCTTTATTCTCTATGTCTTCTCGCACTAAACTATTTTGCATTTTTCAGTGTTTATATATACAAACTAAGATATCATATCAATGGGATTCTTATCGAGAACAGAACTCTTTGCATGTCAAATAGTCCAAGTACACATACTGTGAAGCTATTGTTTTTCTTTCTTGCTAGTATTTTGTTGCTTGACATGAATGTTTGCAGCGTATAATTTTCCAGTGGCCAACAAACTAATCCTTTCACACGTAGAAGCTTCCAGTTTTCATAACAGGTATTTTCCACTTATAAAATGATCATTTTTCTTGGGACTCCTGGGGGATTGAGATGCAGTAGAAAAAACGGAAAGATGGGTGTGAATCAATGGTGGGAAAAAAGAATAGAAATATAGACAAAAACTACAAGAAAAATAATAATATTTTAAACAGCACAAAAAGCCGATGGGAACAATAATCTAATGGCAACAGGGTGGTTTATTTAACTTACTCTTCAACTCTGGGTGTCACTGGCACATCTGGATGCCTGCACAGCAGGAATTCCATAAGCCACCTGTCCACTACTTAAGCTTTTGTTCACTTACATTTTTGTTCTTCTACCCAGACCACAAATCTATTGGATTTCAGAACATGCGTGGATGACTGACACTACAGATGCTCACAAACCTCATCTCCCTTCAACTGTCTTTAATCCTGAGAGGAAACATGAGAGCTCAAAAGGAAACAGAGATAAGCAGTAAGGAGTGGGTTCCTTTTCTAAAAGTGTAAAGATGGTTTCAGCAAGCTTTGATTGTCCTCACTTTCTACCATCCTGGTTTTAATTTCTAGAACATGAGCAAAATATTGGTCCCAATCATCACCCTCTAGGAAATAAGGACATAACAGTAATATAGCAACAGTAAGAAGGAAAATCCTATGTTCTTTCCAATGATTTGGGTTCTAGCATATTTTATGCCCTCAAAGATTTTTTATTTTACATATTTCAAAAACATTATTTTTCAAGTGATAAATCTGAATTATAAAATAATTAACAATAATGAATGCTGACAGAAGAGTCCAGACTTCAGAGTAAATAATTTATTCAGAAACTGGCATTTCTTTCACATTCACATATTACAATTGTATATTTCTTCCATGCCTGTGAAGAGGGCTGCATCACAGGCTCCAAAGAGAGTTGGAGTCCAAATCCCAGAAAAATAAAATCCATCTTCATGATAAGCCAAACTCTTCAGTTTATAGAGGAACAACTGCATATTGTGAGATGATTTCAGCTGCCCAGCACACAGTTGTCAGTCACTCCTTGGGCTTAAAGAGAATGGATGGGGTTCCAGTTCAGCTTGCTCTTCCCTTGTTCAATTCCCAGGGTGAAGGAGAAATTGTGGTCAGGACTAGCAGCGAGAAGAGTAGCATTTTCTATAGCTACAGCAGCCAGAACCATATCCACAGCCATAGCCAGAGCCGTATCCACAGCCATAGCCAGAGCCGTATCCAGAGCCATAGCCAGAGCCATATCTACAGCCATAGCCAGAGCCATACCTGGAACCATATCCACAGCCAGAGCCAGAGCTGTATCCACAGGGATAGCCTGAGCCATAGCCACAGCCATAGCCATATCTTGAGCCATAGCCACAACCAGAGCCATAGCCGCAGCCAGAGCCATAGCCACAGCCAGAGCCATAGCCACAGCCAGAGCTGTAGCCACAGCCTCCACAGGAGTTTCCGTAGTAGTTGCTGCACATGGTGATGAGAGGTGAGGTTTCAGCTGAGAAGCAGAAGGATGTGTCTGAAGTGAGTGCCATCCAGTCTGCCCAGACTTTTATACCCAACAGATTGATGGCTCATGCCTCACATGGGCTCTGCCCTCTCAATTGACAACACTTCTAGAGTGAACTCATTCTCGGAAAGTTTGTTAGGAATTCACAATTTACTTACTACTACCCTAGGAACTCAAAGAAGCATTCAAAAATAATAATATTTTTTCTGAACAGCTTAGGGATCTATAATTTACACTTTATGAAGTCATTTCATGACCATGACAGAATATAACACGCCACCAAATATTCATGACTAATAAATACATGTTTGTAATAGCCAGAACCTGGAAACAACCTAGATGTCCTTCAATGGAAGAATGGATGAAGAAAGTATGGAATATGTACACATTGGAGTACTATTCAGCGGTAAAAAAACAATGACTTCTCGAATTTTGCATGCAAATGGATGGAAACAGAAAATACTATCCTGAGTGAGGTGTCCCAGACCCAAAAAGATGAACATGGGATGTACTTACTCATAATTAGTTTCTAGCCATAAATAAACGACATTGAGTCTGTAATTTGTGATCCTAAAGAAACTAAATAAGAAGGTGAACCCAAAGAAAAACATATAGTTATTCTCCTGGATATGGGAAGCAGACAAGATTGCCAAGCAAAAATTGGGATCTTGGGGGAGGGGTGGGATAGGGGTAAGGGGAGATGTGGAGAGAAATGTGTGAAGGGGAGGATGGGGGGAACTTGGGGAATTGGGATGGTTGGGATAAAGGAAGGATGGTTATGGGAGCAGGGAAACATATATCTTAATTAAGGGAGCCAGTTTAGGGTAGGCAAGAGACCTGAACCTAGAGGGGCTCCCAGGTGCCCAGGGGGATATCCTCATTTAGTGCCCAGTTATGGCAGCTGAGGATAAGGATCCTGAAATGGCCCTATCCTATAACCACACTGATGAATATCTTGCATAACACCATAGAACCTTCATCGGGCGATGGATGGAGATAGAGACAGAGATCCACATTGGAGCACCGGAATAAGCTCCCAAGGTAACAATGAGGAGCAGAAAGAGGGAGAACATGAGCAAGGAAGTCGGGACCGTGAGGGGTGCACCCACCCACTGAGACAGAAGGACTGATCTATTGGGAGGTCACCAAGGCCAGCTGGACTAGAACTGAAAAAGCATGGGATAAAACCGGACTCTCTGAACAATGAGGACTGATGAGAAGCCAAAGAAAATGACACTGGGGTTTGATCTTACTTCGTGTTCTGGCTTTGTGGGAGCCTAGCCGGTTTGGATGCTCACCTTCCTAGACCTAGATGGAGGGGGGAGGACCTTGGACTTTCCACAGTGCAGGGAACCCTGACTGCTCTTCGGACTGGAGAGGGAGGGGGAGAGGAGTGGGGGTGAGGGGGAGAAGGGTGGGAGGAGGGGGAGGGAAATGGGAGACTGGGAGGAGGCGGAAATTGTTTTTTTATTTTTCAATAAATAAATAAATAAATAAATACGTGTTTGGATTATGTTTCTCAACGTCTTTGGAATTATCAACCCTACAGTCCCATTCATGGTGAGGAATGTCATTACCTTCTCTATTAACAGCTGTGGAAAAGAAGCGCTGTACCAACTCTGTTTTTGTTATAAAAATCAGTCAAAACTATTTTTCATGTATTTTTGACAGACTTGACATTTGAACCTTCATCTTACAGCTAGAACTTAGTTTTTTCTGAAGAAGCAACTGCTATCTCCATAATTTCCTGCATGAAAGATTTCTATCAAATTCCTTATGCACAAGTATTATCATTCATTGGTATTTATTTCCAAGGGTGACCACCTAAAAGGTTGAAAATGTCTTGGTTCACGTTTTTATTGTTCTGTTTTTCTTAAGTTAAATTCTTGAATATGAGTCAGTCTTGCCAATTACTCAATATACACTTATACTAATGCAAGTATATAAATAAATATAATTGCTTTTCTCCAAAACACAATTAACCAACAGTGAGTACTTCCATATGGGTGGAGTAGATGAGTAATTGAAAGATTTTGATGAAAGAACATATTCTAAGAGATAAAGTGTATAAGGGACATGGCTCAACATAATGAAACCAATTACAGATATCCCACAGCCACCACCATTCTAAACAGAGTGAAACTCAAAACATTCTACAAACATCAGGACCAAGACGATGTTGACCAAACTTGTTCAATGTAATTCCTGAAATCTAAGCTACATCTATAAGACAACTGAAAAAGACCAAATAGAGACAAATAAAAAAGGAAATGCTCAAACTATCCTTATTCACAGATTATATGATTTTATACATATAATTCTCTAAAGAAAACACCAGAAAATTTCTACAGCTGACAAATTACTTTAGCAAAGTAGCAGGATGCAAAGTTGACAAACAAAATATAAACAACTAATACACAAAAACAGGAAGAAAGGGATCAGATAAGCACTACTTTTCACAATATACCGATAACTGATGAAGCAAGCAAAAAACTGTATAATAAAAACTTAAGACGTTTAGAAAATGAATTGAAGAAGAGAACCGAGAATGGATAGATGTCCATGCCCATGAAACAGTTGGATGAATAGGGGTTCTACGTATAAGGAGCAGAGTTTAGATCTGTACTGCACAGCATGCTGACCATTTGGAAATAGTGGAATAAAACTTACAAACATTTCGGCAAGAATTGATTTTAAGTGTTTTCTGATTAAATACTAAAAAGAAAATGACATGTTGTTCATGTGAAGCTTCTTTTTATTTTATTTTATATAAACAAATAAACCATTTTTTTCATTATACATACCAATCCATGTTCCCAATCGCTCCTCTCCTCCCATTTCCTCTACTTACCGCCCCCTCCCAAAGCATTCGCTTCTCAGAGAGGGTATAGCACATTGTTATGTGCAAGGTCCCAGGCTCTCCCTATTATGTCTAGGATGAACAAGGTACCAACCAAAGAGAATCGGTTCCCAAAAAGCCAGTACAAGCAGTAAGAATCAGTCCTGGTGCCACTGCCAGTGGCCCCACTGTCTGCCCTAGCCAGGCAACTGTCAACCACATTTAGAGCAACTACTTTGGTCCTATGTTTGTTCCTTCCCAGTCTGGCTGGTATTAGTGAGGTCCCATTAGCTCAGATAGTCTCTTTCAGTGGGTGTACCAAGACAATTATTGTCTTTACCCATTTAACCATATTATCTTATGAAATCAATTTCTTAAGAAATCAATATTTCAGGGAATTGTAATGTAGTTATCAAGAGTCTATTATGAACCTAAACATAACCATCTCAAGCTTGTCAGTTCTATGCTTCTCTAGCACAATGTAATTTCTTTCTTTTTTTAAATTTATTTATTTATTAAAAATTTCCACCTCCTTCACTCCTCCCATTTCCTTTCCCCTCCCCTACTTCCTCTCCCCCTCCCTCTCCAGTCCTAAAAGCAGTCAGGGTTTCCTGCCCTGTGGGAAGTCCAAAGTCTTCCCCCACCTTTATCCAGGTCTAGGAAGGTGAGCATCCGGACTATTAATTTCTTTCTTTATTACAAGTCTTTGTGTTAAAATCTCCAAAAGTTTGTTCAATTTAAAAATTTACTATTTTTTATGTTCAGAAAAGTTATCACAATGAACTCTGTTTACAAAGAAGATCTTTCCTGGTTCCATAAGTTCATCGTTGGAGTGTAATGAAGCCCATTTTCTAAAAGCAAGTCTGTAAGTTTGATCAGAGCACTCTCGTGTCTGTGCTGTAACCCAGAACTCCTCAGAAAAGAGTACCAGTCAGCAGTTATTTAGTCCATGACAACAGTTGAACAAAAAGAAAAGTTTTAATAAAAAGTATACAAAATCAATTGGTTATGAGGGACAATCTTGCCAAAAATAATGGTGCTGGCATAATAACGTATTATGTAAATAAACATTGCCACAAGGTGGGTTTTAAAGGGCAGAAAGTGGCTCAGCAGTTAAGAAACAAACCAGTCTTACAGAGGACATGAATTTAGTTCCCAGCACCCATATAGGCTGGGTTTACAACCATCTGTGTAACTCTCGTACAAGGGGTTCAGACACCCTCTTCTAGACTTGGTAAGCATTGCACTTATATGCACGTACTTGCACACTGGCACACATGCTTACACACAAAGACACACACACACAGAGACACACACCTCAAGTAAAGTAATTTTAAAGTGGGTTTTACATTATTTATCACCACCAACATTAATATGTGAGGTCATGATTTTGTGAACTGTAAAGTTATTAGATCCAGTCATTGCACACCATTTCTCTATTGTCTTTCATGTCCTATTCAAAATAATATCCACCCAACATTTATACCCACAATAATTTCTAATATTCTTGTCTTTCAAAAACATGAGAAAAATTTGGGACCTAATGAATATGTTGACACTTTTGTTGCCGCGTTGAATCTGTGGATGTATTCTATAAACAGAAATCTCTGTCTTACAAAGTCGCACAACCATTCAGTCCCCCAAAAAACACAGAGGCTTTATTAATTATAAATTGTCATGTTAGTTCAGGCTTATTATTAACCAGCCACTATAACGTAAATTAACACATAATTCTTGTCTGAGTTTAGCCACACAGTACATATAAAGAAGTATATTCCACATCAGTATTCACTTCTCCAAACCTCCAAAATTAAATGTATTACATAAGTGATTCTGTAAATCATCTTTCTCTATCCCACCAGTCAGCTCCCAAACAATGATATAGAGAGTTATTAATTATGAAAGCCTGACCTTAGCTTAGCTAGTCCAATTAACTATTATAACTTCAATTATACATTTATATTAATCTATGTTTTGTCTCGTACCTTCTTACGTTTTTTTCATTCTGTATGTCTGACTCCCTATGTGTCTTATTTGTGTCTGACGCATGCCTAGATTATTTTCTGCTTCCTTTCTCTCTGCCAATCAGTTGAAATGATTGGTTGCATAGTAGATGATAAGGAAGAAATTTTCTCAATACAAACAGATATGTAACTAGAAGTAAATACAAAGATGAAGCTTCTAAGAGGTTAGTGATCAAAATGTGAAACCTAAATATTGTACTCGATGAGCAAAATGCAGAATTTTTGGCTTTTTATTAAAAAACTATGTTTTCATAAAATACTATCCTTTTATCCCCTCCAACTCACACAAGAATCAACCTCACCTTCCTACCCACACAACCTTTTTCTCTCTATTCTTTACAAAAAAAGTAAAACACACAAAAAAATCCAGTGAGAAAGAAACTAAAACAAACAAGCAAAATACCAACACCCCAAAAGTGAAACAAAAATATTTGAAAAAATAAAAGGACTTCATTTTGTGTTTGTTAACTCCTCCTGGGTATTGGGCATATCCTAAAGTGTAGATACTACGTACAGTGAAACTCTGTTCGAAAAACTAATTTTTCCTTTGCTAGCTGATAACAATTTTAAAGAGCTTCCTGGATAAAAGCAGGAGCTTCTTTCCACTTCCTTCTCTCAGTACTGAAATACCCCCTGAATGGAACCAGTGCAGGCCATGTGTGTGCTGCCATAGTCTCTGTTAGTTGGTATACCAACAGTCCTACCGAGTCTGGAAGACATGGTTTCCTCAGAATCTTCCACCACCTCTGGGGCTCATGATCTCTTTGCTTTCTTTTCCACACAGATCCATGAGCCTTGAGGAGGTACAAATATGCTAATTAGGATCAAGTGTTTCAAAGTCTTTCACTTTCTGATAATTTCCACTGCTTCCATGCTGAAGAACAAAAGGGATTAGATTTTTATGACTTTATGATTATGAAACAGCAAATTTTTATGGCTGTCAGACATGGGGAACCATAAAGCAAATAGAAATAACTAATATAGATAAACACAAGACTTATTGATCCTTATTATAAACCCTTCAATGTATAAATGTCTATGGCCGAATGACTAGCTCATGGTAGCAAGGATAGATCACTATAGACATTTCATGCCTAATGATAAAACAGAAATATCAAAGATAACCAAGATGCTTTCACCACCTGAAATGCACAGAGGGGATAATACGATCTTAATTCTCCATGTCCTCTCGTGCTGATCTATTTTACATTTTTGAATATTTATATACACAAAATAAGAGGTCATATCAATGGGATTCGTATTGAGACACAGAACTCTTTGCTCTTCAAATACTCCATATACATATAGAATGAAGCTGCTGTTTTTCATTGTTGTTAGTGTTTTCTGACTGACATAAATTTTTGCAGTGTAGAATTTTCCAGTGGCCAACAAATTAACCCTTTCACATGTGCAGGCTTCCAGTTTTCACACTTGCATAGTAGGTATATTCAAGTTATAGAATGATGATTTCTCTTGGGACTTCTGGGGGAGGGGTTGAGGTGTGATAGAAAAAACTGAAAGGTAGGTGTGATTTACTGATGGGGAAAAGAACAGAAATCAATAAGAAACGGGAAGAAAAACAATAATATTTTAAAAAGCACACAAGTCTATGAGAACAATAATCTAATGGGAACGGGATGGTTTATTCAGCTTACTCTTCTACCCTGAATGTGACTGGCACAGCAGAAATTCCCATAAGCCATCTGTCCACTACTTATGTTTTTGTTCTCTTAGATTTTTGTTCTTCTACCCAGGACCCAAATCTATTGGATTTCAGAACATGCGTGGATGACTGACACTACAGATGTTCACAAACCTCCTCTCCCTTCCACTGTCTTTAATCCTGAGAGGAAACATGAAAACACAAAAGGAAACAGAGATAAGCAGTAAGGAGTGGGTTCCTTTTCTAAAAGTGTAAAGACGGTTTCAGCAAGCTTTGATTGTCCTCACTTTCTACCATCCTGGTTTTAATTTCTAGAACATGAGCAAAATATTGGTCCCAATCATCACCCTCTAGGAAATATAGACATAACAGTAATATAGCAACAGTAAGAAGGAAAATCCTATGTCCTTTCCAATGATTTGGGTTCTAGCATATTTTATGCCCTCAAAGATTTTTTATTTTACATATTTCAAAAACATTATTTTTCAAGTGATAAATCTGAATTATAAAATAATTAATGATAATGAATGCTGACAAAAGAGTCCAGACTTCAGAGCAAATAAATTAATTTATTCAGAAACTGGCATTTCTTTCACATTTGCATATTACAATTGTACTTTTTCTACTGTGCCTTTGAAGAGGGCTGCATCACAGGCTCCAAAGAGAGTTGGAGTCCAAATCCCAGAAAAATAAAATCCATCTTCATGATAATTCAAACTCTTAAGTTTATATCAGGAACAACTGCATAGTGTGAGATGATTTCAACTGCACAGCACACAATCGTCAGTCACTCTTTGGGCTTAAAGAGAATGGATGGGGTTCCACTTCAGTTTGCTCTTCCGTTGTTCAAAAGTCAGGGTGAAGGAGAAATTGTGGTCAGGACTAGCAGCAAGAAGAGTAGCATTTTCTGTAGCTACAGCTGCCAGAACCATATCCAGAGCCATAGCCAGAGCCGTATCTGCAGCGATAGCCAGAGCCATAGCCAGAGCCATATCCAGAGCCGTAGCCACAGCCATAGCCAGAGCCGTATCCACAGCCGTAGCCAGAGCCATACCTGGAACCATATCTACAGCTAGAGCCAGAGCTGTATCCACAGCCATAGCCTGAACCATAGCCACAGCCATAGCCATATCTTGAGCCATAGCCACAACCAGAGCCATAGCCACAACCAGAGCCATAGCCACAACCAGAGCCATAGCCGCAGCCAGAGCCATAGCCACAGCCAGAGCTGTAGCCACAGCCTCCACAGGAGTTTCCGTAGTAGTTGCTGCACATGGTGATGAGAGGTGAGGTTTCAGCTGAGAAGCAGAAGGATGTGTCTGAAGTGAGTGCCATCCAGTCTCCTGAGACTTTTATACCCAACAGATTGATGGCTCATGCCTCACATGGGCTCTGCCCTCTCAATTGACAACACTTCTAGAGTGAACTCATTCTCGGAAAAATTGTTAGGAATTCACAATTTACTTACTACTACCCTAGGAACTCAAAGAAGCATTCAATAATAATAATATTTTTTCTGAACAGCTTAGGAATCTATAATTTACACTTTATGAAGTCATTTCATGACCATGACAGAATATAACACACCACCAAATATTCATGACTAATAAATACGTGTTTACATTATGTTTCTCAACGTCTTTGGAATTATCAACCCTACAGTCCCATTCATTACCTTCTCCATTAACAGCTGTTAGAAAAGAATCGTTGTACCAACTCTGCTTTTGCTATTAAAATCAGTCAAAATTACTTTTCATGTATTTTTGACAGACTTGACATTTGAACCTTCATCCTACAGGTAGAACTTAGGTTTTTTTTTTTTTTGAAAGAAGAATTGCTATCTCCATAATTTCCTCCATGAAGATTTATATTAAATTCCTTATGCACAAGTATTATCATTCATTGGTATTTATTTCCAAGGGTGACCACCTAAAAGGTTGAAAATGTCTTGGTTCAAGTTTTTATTGTTCTGTTTTTCTTAAGTTAAATTCTTAAATATGAGTTGGTCTTGCCAATTACTCAATGTACACTTATATTAATGCAAGTATATAAATAAATATAATTGCTTTTCTCCAAAACACAATTAACCAACAGTGAGTACTTCCATATGGGTGGAGTAGATGAGTAAATGGAAGATTTTGATGAAAGAACATGTTCTAAGAGATTAAGTGTATAAGAGACATGGCTCAACATAATAAAACCAATTTACAGACATCCCACAGCCACCATCATTATAAACAAAGGGAAACTCAAAACATTCTACAAACATCAGGACCAAGACAATGGTGAGCAAACCTGCTCATATAATATTTGAAATCTAAGCTACAGTTGTAAGACAACTGACAAAGACCAAATAGAGACAAATAAAAAAAAAAGAGGCACTCAAACTATCCTTATTCGCAGATGATATGATTTTATACATATAATTCTCTAAAGGAAACACTAGAAAATTTCTACAGTTGACAAATTACTTTAGCAAAGTAGCAGGATACAAAAGTGACAAACAAAATATAAACAACTAACACACAAAAACAGGAAGAAAGGGATCAGATAAGCACTACTTTTCACGATATACTGATAACAGATGAAACAGTGAAAATCTTGTATAATAAAAACTTAAGACATTTAGAAAATGAATTGGAGAAGACAACTGAGGATGGAAAGACGTCCATGCCCATGGAACTGTTGGATGAATATAGGGGTCCTAAGTGTAAGGAGCAGAGTTTAGATCTGTACTGCACAGCATGCAGACCATGACTTTTAGTCAAGGTTAATATTTACAAACTTTTCTGGAAGAATTGATTTTAAATTTTTTCAGATTAAATACTAAAAAGAAAATGATGTGTTATTCATGGCAAGCTTCTTGGTCTAGCCATTCTATCGTCTTTTCTGGTCCTACTCTCATTTCTTTTCTCCGATACACCAATTAGCCACAAATTCAATGCCTCTGTTTTGATAGGCTTCTGAAGTTGTGATATGTGTGGGGGTTGACTTTTCTGAGATTCTATTTTCATCTTCACCTTTAACTTTGGGCTGTCTTTATCTGCTGTTTCCATGATATGGTTTTCTGTTCAGTGTCTCTTATGCCTTTCCTTTAATCGTCTCTGCTTTGGGATTCCTGCCAGATTCAGGTTGATGTGCACCTTTACTTCTTTTATTACACAACAGCAAATTTTGTGTCTTAACACTGACCAACTACTACTGATGTGAAAGTGATCTCTGAGCTGCAGATCTTCTAATCAATGAAACACCAACCATATAGAAATAAGTTCAATAAGTTTAGTAATTTACAAAAAAAACCTTCCAGATCATGAAACTCCAAAACTAAGATATATGTGAGACTCAATGTGAAAATTTTGTTCTCTGAAAATGTTCAAGGAAGATAAATCTTAAATGGAGTACTGAACCTGTTGTATAAATGTTTTAGGGAAGTATTATAATACAGTTTTCCAGATTCTATTATGCAACTAAAAATAATAAAAAGAGATTAGCTATAACATTATATGTCACCATCATAAACTGTCAGTTATATACTTCTCCAGCAATTTATAATTTCTTTCTTTATTACAAGTCTTTGTGTTAAAATCTCTATAGATTTATTCTATTTAAAAATTTACCATTTATAATTATCAGAAAAGTTATCACAATAAACTCCTTTTGCAAGTGAAGTTCTTTCCTGGTTCCATAACTCCATTGCTGGAGTGTAATTAAGCCCATTTTCTAAAACTGTCTATATGTTTGGTCACAATACCCTCATGTCTATGATGTAATCCAGAACTCCTCAGAGATATGGTACCAATCAGTAGTTACTTTAGATGATGACATCAGTTGAAAAAAAGAAAAGATTTACAAAAAGCATATAGCATTTCAATTAGTTATGAGGGACAAACTTGCCTGTGAAAGGAATGGTGCTTATCCAACAATGTACTATGTAACTCAACATTACCAAAAGGTGCGTTTTCAAGGGCTGAAAAGGTGCCTCAACAGTTAAGAAACCAACCATTCTTACAAAGGACATGAATTTAGTTCCCAGCACCCACATGGGCTGGTTTACAACCATCTGTGTAACTCTTTATCTCAAGGGGATCAGACACCCTCTTTTAGCCTTGGGAAGCATTGCATCACATGTATGTACTCGTATACACAAACATACATGCATACACACCACATACACACATATACACCTCAAATAAAATAATTTTAAAGTGGGTTTTAAATTATTTTTCACTACCAAAATTAATATGTGAGGTCATGGCTCTGTCAATTGTAAAGTCACTAGATCCAGTCATTATACCATTTCTCTATTCTACTTTTTCATGTCCTTTTCAAAATAATATGCACCAAATATATTTACCCACTTTAATTTTTCATGTTTTGTCATTCAAAAACATGATAAAATTTTGGGAATTTATGAATGTTTTGACAGTTTGGTTGCCATGATGAATCTGTGAATGTATTCTGTAAACAGAAGATTCTGTCCCACCCGATCCCACAACAAGTCACCTCCAAATAAACACCCAGAGGCTTATATTAATTATAAATTACTTGGCCTATTATTTCAGGCTCATTATTAACCATCTCTTACAACTTAAATGAACCCATAATTCTTGTCTATGTTTAGCCATACAACATATATACAGAAGGACTTCCTTCATCAGTATTCACTTATTCAAACCTCAAAAATTAGATGTATTAAATAAATGTTATCCTATAGCAAGTCTTTCTCTACCCCACCAGTCAGCTCCCAAATAATGACACAGATATTTATTAACTATGAAAGGCTGACCTTAGCTTAGGCTTGTCCCACTAACTCTTATAACTTAAATTGCCCCATTTGTATTAATCTATGTTTTGTCTTCTGGATTTTTACCTTTCTTTCATTCTATATGTCCAACTCTCTCCATGTCTTGTTTGTATCTGACATGCACCTAGATTCATCTCCTTCTTACTCTCTCTCTGCCTAACTCCCACCTATACCTCCTGACTATCTATTGGTCATTCAGGTCTTTATTAAACCAATCACAATAATATATCTTCATACAGTATACAAATATTTCATGACTTGATTTTTTATATCAACTACACTTCATAAACCTGGAAAATTAATAACTCAACAAATAGACATAAAAACCTTTATATGCAGCTACTAGAAAAGATCTACCGCACAGATGATGAATGAGTGATCATCAGCTGGTTCTGTCTCTACCTAGAGAGCTGGGACAGTACATCACAGAAAGACTACGTGGAGGGAGGGGATAGAAGATTATAGAGGACATATAGGTGTTTGGGTAGGCAATAATCAGTTTATAGTACTCCATATATGATAATTACGCACTGAGGTTATATATCAATAGTGGAGATAGATAAGATTGCTCTCAGGCAATACGTCCAGAGCATAAATGAAAAACTATACCAATTTATGACTTGCTCCCTCAGCTTCAAATTCACATCTTGATCTTTGAGCATTTATCTTTAATTATCAATATAGACTTAGGCTTTCCCAAGAGAGGATGCATACACACATTGAAGGAAGTATTGATATTCCTAACTTTGTGATGGAGATGATGAAGACACATTGTTGGTCAAGTAGTGTGTCTAAAGAAAGCTTTGGGAGTCTGAGGTTCAGAAAGTTCTACCTATTGGGTCTATCATGGCTGCTGTATCTGAGGTTTCTCCTTAGAAAAAGTGAAACAACAATATGTGTGCAAATATAGATGAATACACTCATATGCATGTAAAGATTTACGTAAGTGTGAAAATGTACAAATGAGACTACAAACTGCAGTGAACAAAACCATGTGGTGCTGATGACAGAAAAGAAAGTACAAAACTATCAAGGGAAGCAGTAGATGAACATGAGTTCCACTACCACAGCCACAGTGCTTGGTGGACTTCCCAGTATCCTACTAATGCTACAGCCGGTCGTGACTGACAGAAAGGACACAAGTTCTTGCCAAAACAAATGAAATGCATTGACTGAAAGAGCATTATTTTTCCAACTGTGAAGCATTTGTTTACCTCAAAAAAAAACAAAATAAGAAACGAGAAGCATTAATTTACATTTTGTACATAATAAGCCATCTTTGGTCTTTGATGTCCATAATGGAAGCATTTATATTCTCTCAGCAACAACTTCCCTGAAGTTAGATAGCTGTCTCACCTATATTTGAATGTAGAAATGGTAGAATGGGGCACTTTTCATGGAGAAATGCCAGGCTTGAAATACTTTGTTTCTTAATAGATTTATCTTATTTCTAACAATGTATATTGTATGTGTGTCTCTGCATGGGTGTGTGAACATGAGTACAGTTGCCCTCAGAGACCAGAAGAGGGGG